TTTAAACCCAAAATGACATTTGATCAATAAAGGAAATTTTTTTTGTAAAACTTGATCAAACCACATAAAGAATACATTATAAAGCATATTTGAAATTTGAATAATCTATTTGTGCTTATATAATAAATTCAAAAGAACGAATCAAAACAAAATTTTTGACAAAAGAGATGCAAGAGAGGCACCAATATATCAATCTCTTAAGCTTGTTCTAACCCATATAAAGATTATTAGTACCTGGTAAACAAGATTTGGGAATAAACACCCAATAAATCCGGGGGATTATATAAATACAAACCTCGCATCAAAACAAAACCAATAATCATGAAAACAAAAGGATTTGACCAATAAAAAGAATTGTTTTTATGTTAAAAAAAAATTAAAGTATAATTTTCCAAACCAAGAAAAAAAATAAAAACACTAAAATACTTGGTTTAAAAATCAATTTTATTTTGGTACCCAAGAATTCTTGGTACCAAGAAGTTTAGGGACATGACCCCTATCATTTAAGCTCAAAACCCTAGGGTTATGAACCCGTTTGGGCACATGTGGTGTACTAACACGGTCAAAGCAATAATCACTCAAATGACCCTTCCGATTGCAATATGTGCAATAAAAGAGATCCATTTGTTTTTGTGGACCATTAGATCGTGCACGGGAATCATTTGCAAATAAAGATTGTTTTTTAAAATTATTTTGCAAATGAGAAACATTCTTAAACAATGATCTATTTGGAACATATTGTAACTTAGAAGCTTTTTACATATAATAACAAAATTTTACAAGATGTCCAAACCTACCACAAACATCGCATTTAAAAACATATGGTCTACTAGAAGTATTTGGCAAATAAGATTTCTTTTTCAAATCAAAACAATATTCGACCAAATGACCAAAACGACCACAATGATCAGACTTGAACACACTAGCATGCTTATGATGAACTTTGTGAGAATGAGCATGTGAATGTGTAAGTGTATAAGATGAAGAAGCTACATGAGATGCACAAGAGGCATTAGAATACTTATGTTTGTGTGCACCATAGCAAAATTTGGTTAGATGGCCTTTACGGCCGCAAATAGAGCACTTATAAACTTTGCTATATATGTGTGCATAATGAGTGGATGATTTAAACTTGGCACACATATCCATAAGCTTCTTATGATTATTAATACATGTATTAAGAGTTGACTCTAAGGATAAAATGCGATTTTTAACAACATTCAACTCATCATTTGGCACATATGCATTAACATTAGAAGTCGAACATAAATAGTTATTTATAAAAGAAGCAGTATCATTTTTTATGTTTTTTTACTTCTAATGTGGCATTATCTTTTTCATGAGATAAGCTAGTTATAGATGTGGTTAATTTTTTATTTTCCAAAATTAACATGTCATTGTTTTCTTTAAGCATGGTATTTTCTTTTGCAATGACATCCAATTTTGACACTAGCCCCTCATGATCGGATTCTAAATTATCATGCTTGCTTTGTAAATCAATAAAATCTTTATGCAATTTGTTGTAGGCATGCACTAATTTTTTACTAGCACAAGCAAGTTCATCACTAGATAAATTATTAATCGATTCTCGTAAACCTCACTAGGGCTATCGCCTAGTGGTCGTGTGCATGATGCTCCATATGAACTTAAAGCCGGATCCTCTAAAGCTTGTCGGATCGCCTTCAAGTCTCCTTGATGTGCTTCAATAAATTTCCATAAGGTGTAAGCACTATCAAAATGAACAAACTTGTTAGACATAGATGAATCAAAAGCATTTAGCAAATATTCTAACAAAATTTTGTTCATAGTAAATAATCTTTTATCATTTTTACACCACTTGGATTTCTCCAAAGTGGGCACAATATAAGCATCATCTATAATTTTTCATAAATCAAAATGTTTAGATCTAACAAATAACTTAAATCTAACACACCATTGGGCATATGAGAAATTATCTAAACAAGGAGCAACATTCATGGCATAACCTAAACAAGGTGCACCGTGCATATCCATAATGTATATATGTGCAACAAGATATAAAAATCTCAAAATTAGATTAGCACAAAAAGATAACTTGGATATTTAACTCAAGGTGATTAGACCTTAAATCAAAGAGCACCAAACTCTGATACCAATTGTTAGACCCTAAAGGGCGGTGATTAGGGTCTTATGCTAATCTAATCCGATTTTATGCCAATTAAAACTAATTAACAAATTATTCTTGCAAGAGAGATATACAATATATTACAAGAAAGAATAATCAATATGAACAAAGAGCAATATCCTAACAATGATATGAGATATATGCGAGGATATACAATGAACACAAAGGTAAACAATCTAAACTAGATAGTGGGCAATATGAATAACAAGTAATATACAAAGGCGATATAAGATATGAGCATAAGAAAGGTGCGCCAATGCAATCACAAACAAACGATGTGATCACGGAGTTCGGATCTTCCGTCCTACGTCTCCGCTCCCCACTCCCGGGGAGAAATCCACTATCACAACCGGGTTTTCTACGCTCACCCGAATAACGTTTACACCTCACAATTTCATCCACGGAGTTCGGTCCCCACGACCTACGTCTCCGCTTCTCACCTCGAGGAGATCTCCACTACACACTCGGTTTTCTAGCTAATCAAAAACTTTACAATCTCATAATATAACAAATGATTTATTCTCTACAATAGATGAGAACTCGATGTAGGCTCACACTCAATGTTACAACTCTCACGAACCCAAATATACTATGTATGAAAATACAATAAGCTCAATGTGGGTATGTGTAAACAATGAGTGAAATTAAATCAACTAAACTTAAATATAAATACTAGCTTAATAGAATGATAATCAAACAATACAAAATGTAAAGCTTGATAGAGTTTAGAAAACTTCTCCAATAAATGACAAGAGTGAGAGAGAGATGATTTGAAGCTCAAACACCAAGTGATGATCTCTTCTAGCTCTTGTGAAATTGATTTCATAAAATCAAACTCTCAATTGCTTAAAAGCTTTTAAAACAAACTTAAACCAAACATAAAGCCTTGTTTAAAACTTTCTTAAACTAGTTTAAAATATTCTCATTGTTAGTGGGAGGGTTGAACTGAAGCATTGTCACACAACTGAACAAGTAGCAGATATATTCACCAAGCCATTATCAGGTGAAACTTTCATGAGGCTAAGAGACATGCTTGGCATAAAGACATTTTGATTTGAAGGGGTGTGCTGGAATATCAAATTAAAATGTTAGAATAAATGAGGTTAATAGCATGAGTTTTAGAAGTGCAAGGGTTATAAGTTTAGAAGGGGAAGAGACATAGGTTATGGAAGAATAAGAGTTACTCACTCCTTTATGATGTTTTTATCTTTATGTCATTAAAATAGGAGTTAAATTTGTGACTATTGGTATGCCTATATGTTTTGTTTTTGAAGCATATATAAATGGCTATTGTAATCCTTGTTTTCATCAAGAAAAAATTGAAGAAATAAAAGTAAGTTCTTTTGTCTTCATTTGGGAGGGTTCTAAGTTCGTAAACTTAAGAGTCAACAGTTTGTAAAGCACCCTGACAAACTGTCCAAAGCCAAGCGTGCACTCTCGAAGCCACCCATAACTACCATTCATATTGTTGCTAGTTTTTGGTCTAATTATTTCATATGCATCCACAATGTTAAATTGCTTCAATGGTTTATCCTCCATATTAAATGATCATTATAAACCTAGAGAATCAGACCAGTTATTACCTTGCGAATAAGTTCTTAGCCGAAACACCTTCCTAACTGAGGAATGTCCCATGATCTAATGAACTCCATAAGTATAGTATTTACAAAACGTTCTTAGAACTAATGAATGTCGAAGAAGCACTTATGGTTGTACAGTCTAACCATGGATCTTGAAGCATTCTGATATTTCTTCCAGAGCTGACCTCCCACTTTAAACCTTGTCTTACAACGTCAAGACTGTTCATAACAGCCCTCTAGACTCTAGAGCATCCACGAGTCCTGACACTAGAAGCCTAACAATCACCTCGACATCTGTACTTCTTTAGTTCACTTCTTAACCACAAGGATTTTGGTTGACTAGCACCATGAACAACATGCTTCGCGTGAGAACAACATGAAGAGGAATAAGTTCACGAACACCAAGAGCTCCCTCTTCCTTGCTGTAGCATACAATGTCCCAAGAGACAATAGATAATCCTATTTTATTATCACCCCGTCCCCATAATAATTTTCTGAACTGTTTTTCAACCTTTACAAGGCATTTTTTCGACACCCATAAGCAAGCCAAGAGGTACAATTAATGTCATGGATTGAAATTTTTTTCAAAGCAAAGTAATCTTCTTTTGAGGAAATGACTGCAGAGTGCAGACTATTAACTTTCGCTGATCCGATTATTTTCCTAAGTTTTTCTAACAACCGTTTATAAAAAGCAACCGAAAGTTGAGAGAGAGATATTTTAATCCTCAAATAATATAGAGATCCCTTAAGCTCCATAATAGTGAATGACCCTGTAAGCCTACCTTTTAAGCCTACGATCAACATCCCCTCTAAACAAAATAGCAGATTTGTCAAAATTGATTGCTTTGTCACTAACAATGCAATATTCAGACTATTTTTCCTAAGACAATATGCTTCCGTCATTGAAGCTCTCAAATTAAAGAAGATTAAAGAATCATATACATAAATAGGTACAGGTTCAAAAAAAAAAAAAAAAATACATAAATAGGTTATTAACATGATCTTGACCAAGCTAAAAAAAAAAAAAAAAATACATAAATAGGTTATTAACATGATCTTGACCAAGCTTATAACTTGTTATTAGACTCTAATTGTCTACCTTGCTTAATAGACTGTAGTAGAACCTCAGCGCTATGTATAAATAAGTACTAGCAAAAACCCCCCGTGTAACGCGGGGGAAATGAAGAATGTATACTCCTATCTTTAAATGTTGTAAAAGTAAGTTTAATGATATGGAAATAAGACAACCAAAATACAATAGTTATGATAATAGATGTAATACACATTGTTTAAGTTAGGATCCATAATAAACAAACATACATACATGAAAGCAGCTAGCTATCAAAATACATAGTGCATCGTAAGCTATTAATATTTACATAGCAAAAGGGGAATGAAGCAAGCATGAGGCTGAACGTGGATGTCGTCTACTGGGTTCCTTCAGCAGATTCGGAGTCAGAAACAACATTATGTTTGATTTCATCGTTATCAGTAGAATCAGCTTCTTTGTCAGAGGATTTGTATGAGCTAGTACTTTCTTCAAGTGCTTGAACTCTATTGTGCATTGAATTAAATGATCTAGGCGACCAATCCAATGAACTGAAAGTGTATTGCCCTTTCAAACTGTACTTGTGATTTGTATAATCATGGCGGAAGGCAAACTTGAATTCCTTTCCATGAGCTTTGGTTATGAGATTGTGTATTTTGCAGAGTCCGTTATCCTAAAATCATATTGAAGCGATCTGTTAGTTCTTTCCATTCACACGTTTTATATCTTAGTAATTTTTTTTGTTTGATTCCTGCCAAAAAGTAGGTAGTTGAAAGTATAGTGTAGAAATATACCTCTAATTTCAGGTTCTCAAGCTCTGGAGCAGAGATGTGAATAATTTCCTCTGCATCATGATTAAAAATTACGAGGTTTAACCTGTCGGTATCATCCTTGATATCAATTGTGATCTTGTACCTGAGATGTAAATGAATACAACTATTATGTTAGTTACATAGAATTTAAATTGAACCATTTACAAATATAACATTTGTGGCATGGAGTTGTCTAAATGCAAAGAAAAAAACCTTGATGTTGTACTCCCTTGGCGATTGGCACAAGTTGGGTTTAGGCAGCCATATTTCATACTTCATCCCTTTTGGGCACATTGCACATGCACGGTAGGTCATCGATAATTCGGTGTAAATACGCGAGATAGTTGCGCGGATTGTGAAGTACAAATCCTGGTAGATTTATTTGGAGAGAATGATGTTAATGATAAGAGCAAGCAATGATTAATAAAGATGTGTGAAGTTATACATGAAAAATCATTTTAGAGAAGTTTTGATTGAGGCATCTTCTAAGTAGTGCAAATTTGTGTTTAAATGTAGGTCATAGAGAAGTGAAGAATGTATGTAGATATTTGTTGAGTAGCTATTAGATTTGTAGTATAGAGTAATTATTTAGAGGTGAGATACCATTGTAGAGGATTTGAACCTAATTTAGGATAGATTATTATACAGTTGAAATGTGGGCTTTAGAGAAAGTTATCTTGTCTACGATATCCCTTTTAATTCCTTTTGCTATCCTAATAGATATAGTAAATGAATATATACATTAAAGAACATATAATCCACAGAATTCAGTGCAGCACAAGCCACACTATTTGAACTAAGATTAATTTATAATGAGAGCAAAATATTGACATGTAATGTGATAAAAAGAATAGATGATAAAGGTTATGTACCTTATTTATAATGAGAGCAAAATATTGACATGTAATGTGATAAAAAGAATAGATGATAAAGGTTATGTACCTTGCCAGGGATAGGAGGAGAGCTAGTTGTGATAAAAAGAATAGATGATAAAGGTTATGTACCTTGCCAGGGATAGGAGGAGAGCTAGTAAGAGCTTAGAGTTGGCTAATTGTGTAGATTATCTCTGGAGTTTTACAATAAAGTTCACTGAATCTTGATATTTCACCGTAAGTAGCTTGAATTTGGTTTGCTTTGTCAGTCACTCTTATTTTTTTAATCAAAGAGATGATTGAGATAGTGAAAAAAACAAAAAAAGTTTATAAATCATCATTGTTGAATTTAAATGTTTGATATGGCAAATAGCTTACTCTTTGAGAAGAAGTCGAGACTCCGACATGTTCTCTGGTTCAATTTTGAATCTTTTGAACAGACATGCCTGTAGCCCATATCGCCCTATTTTGTTTTTTGCTTGGAAAAAATTAAAATTATCTAAAGAATGTGGTATTGACATGAAGACTATGAAGATATGTAGAGAGCATACAGCGAAAGTTGTTTCCTTTAAGGCTGCTTGCAAGAAGGACAAATTGTTTCTTAAATGGTAGAGTAAAGATTTTAGTTCTTTCATATTCTTCCTTCCAAATAGTAAGCACACAAACTTTTGGAAATATAGTCTCATATGTCATGAAGACCTCAGCAAAATGAATAAGTTTCTTCTTTGTATGTCTTGTAGTTGGAGGGCGGACATCAATGATAAGTGTCAAAACATCTGTAGAAAGAAGGTAGCATTACTGTTTTCGCCAAAAGTTGGTTTTGTTGTCGAATTCATTATATCTTCGGTCGATTACAATAAATTCAAAGAAAACAGCCTTTTTATAAGACTCTTTTACACAACAAAAAGAAAATTACAACTCTTGAGAAAATAAACGCAGGATCGTTGTTTGGATCACTGCTTTCGTGGGATCTTTGCCTGTGCCGGGAGTGCTTTGACTCGTGGACCACCAAATCACAGATTCTGATTGAATCGTGAGGGGTTTATGATTCTGACTTCGTTTATCGAAGTGAGAAATTGAAACGATATCTTATCGATGTAAGATAGTTATTCTTCTTGAAATCAAGTCAAAGCCTGATTATCAAGGATTGGCCGTAAGGTCAGCACTTCTGCTCTCTCTGCTCTCTCTCTGCTCTGGATTGCTCTGAAGTGCTCAAAATGATCAGCCCTGGATCTCTGCTGGAAGCCCCCTGTGAAAATGGCCTTCAGGGGGGTATTTATAACCCTCTGGATGAACAGTGCTCGCGAGACAGCATTTGCTGTCTCGGCGGGCGAGACAGTGTTTGCTGTCTCGCTGGCCGAGACAGTGTTTGCTGTCTCGCCCAGCGAGACAGTAAATTTGCTGTCTCGCCCCGAGCGAGAGTAAATACTGTCTCAGAAAATGCAGTTTCTCATTGTAACCGCTCTCCCACGTTTTAAACTCCGTTATTCTGGCAGTTATCTCCGTGATTCTCGCCCACGACGTTTCCCACGTTCTTGAACAGTTAGTGGCCACGTGTCGACGGTTGCAAAACAGTTTCTTGAACCACTGATAACTGTCTCGTGTGCGAGACAGTAAATTCTGTCTCGCACGGCGAGACAGCAAAGACTGTCTCGCGTGGGCGAGACAGTAAAAGTCTGTCTCGCCCGCGAGACAGTAAAGACTGTCTCGCGCTGTCTCGCCAGGTGAGACAGTAAAGACTGTCTCGCCTGTGAGACAGTAAGACTTGTGTTCTTCTGCCTTTTTTGGATGATTTCCTCTTAAGCTGTATTTGGATATCTTTCAGTATTTTTTGACGCCTACAGATACCCCCTCCAAAGTATTCCAGACTCATTCTTTTATAGAGGAGTTCTGGGATACTTTGGATAAGATAAGTCTTGCTTACGATCCCTTCAATGCTTGGTTGAGTAGATTATATAGAGGAACCCGTAGATGGCTTCAACTCTTGACCTCTTTGTCTCTCAATCTATTCAGTACTTTGTAGAATAGCTAAGATTCTTCCGGCGTCGCGTTTATCGCTTGACCGTTGTCGAGATCTTGAATTAAAGCTGGAACTTGTACTTGTGAAATCAGCTCTTGTCATCAAGTTGATACTGCATATACCCGTTTGGGGGTAGTCAGGTTATTCTTAAGAATATTTTAAATGATATTCTCCAGAAACTTCCTGTTGAGGGTAGGAAAACAGTTTAGACTCGTGTACCTAGTTGGAGTATTCAGGTTATTCTTAAGAATATTCTGAGTGATATTCTCCAGAAACTTCCTGTTGAGATTAGGGAAACAGTTTAGACTCGTGTACCTATTGGAGTATTCAGGTTATTCTTAAGAATATTCTGAGTAATATTCTCCAGAAACTTCCTGTTGATGATAGGGAAACAGTTTAGACTCGTGTACCTATTGGAGTATTCAGGTTATTCTTAAGAATATTCTGAGTAATATTCTCCAGAAACTTCCTGTTGAGGGTAGGAAAACAGTTTAGACTCGTGTACCTATTGGAGTAATCAGGTCTCTTTTTTGTTGGTAGAGATGAACCCAGAATCGGAGAGGAAGAATTTTATATTCTATCTCCTGGTACAAAGGAAATTTGAAGTGGGATTTCTATTCAGAGAATCTGAATAAGGTTTGATCAATTGAGATTGGAAGCAATCTTAACTTTTATAGTTTTGATTGCACAAATCGAAGCTGGACCTCTCGTTCATGGAAGGAATCGAAAGGGGATTTTGGTTTTGGTCCTAACTGTAGTAAGGTTTGACCAAGTGGGAGTTCTGAGATGATCCTAACTGTTTAAAGGTTTGATCATTCAATTTGTGGACCTCTCGTTCATGGAACGAATCGAGAGGGGATTTTGGCTTTGGTCCTAACTGTTTAAAGGTTTGACCAAATGGGAATTTGAGACGATCCTAACTGTTTAAAGGTTTGATCGTTCAATTTGTGGACCTCTCGTTCATGGAACGAATCGAGAGGGGATTTTGGCTTTGGTCCTAACTGTTTAAAGGTTTGACCAAGATGGGAATTTGAGACGATCCTAACTGTTTAAAGGTTTGATCGTTCAATTTGTGGACCTCTCGTTCATGGAACGAATCGAGAGGGGATTTTGGCTTTGGTCCTAACTGTTTAAAGGTTTGACCAAGATGGGAATTTGAGACGATCCTAACTGTTTAAAGGTTTGATCGTTCAATTTGTGGACCTCTCGTTCATGGAACGAATCGAGAGGGGATTTTGGCTTTGGTCCTAACTGTTTAAAGGTTTGACCAAGATGGGAATTTGAGACGATCCTAACTGTTTAAAGGTTTGATCGTTCAATTTGTGGACCTCTCGTTCATGGAACGAATCGAGAGGGGATTTTGGCTTTGGTCCTAACTGTTTAAAGGTTTGACCAAGATGGGAATTTGAGACGATCCTAACTGTTTAAAGGTTTGATCGTTCAATTTGTGGACCTCTCGTTCATGGAACGAATCGAGAGGGGATTTTGGCTTTGGTCCTAACTGTTTAAAGGTTTGACCAAGATGGGAATTTGAGACGATCCTAACTGTTTAAAGGTTTGATCGTTCAATTTGTGGACCTCTCGTTCATGGAACGAATCGAGAGGGGATTTTGGCTTTGGTCCTAACTGTTTAAAGGTTTGACCAAGATGGGAATTTGAGACGATCCTAACTGTTTAAAGGTTTGATCGTTCAATTTGTGGACCTCTCGTTCATGGAACGAATCGAGAGGGGATTTTGGCTTTGGTCCTAACTGTTTAAAGGTTTGACCAAGATGGGAATTTGAGACGATCCTAACTGTTTAAAGGTTTGATCGTTCAATTTGTGGACCTCTCGTTCATGGAACGAATCGAGAGGGGATTTTGGCTTTGGTCCTAACTGTTTAAAGGTTTGACCAAGATGGGAATTTGAGACGATCCTAACTGTTTAAAGGTTTGATCGTTCAATTTGTGGACCTCTCGTTCATGGAACGAATCGAGAGGGGATTTTGGCTTTGGTCCTAACTGTTTAAAGGTTTGACCAAGATGGGAATTTGAGACGATCCTAACTGTTTAAAGGTTTGATCGTTCAATTTGTGGACCTCTCGTTCATGGAACGAATCGAGAGGGGATTTTGGCTTTGGTCCTAACTGTTTAAAGGTTTGACCAAGATGGGAATTTGAGACGATCCTAACTGTTTAAAGGTTTGATCGTTCAATTTGTGGACCTCTCGTTCATGGAACGAATCGAGAGGGGATTTTGGCTTTGGTCCTAACTGTTTAAAGGTTTGACCAAGATGGGAATTTGAGACGATCCTAACTGTTTAAAGGTTTGATCGTTCAATTTGTGGACCTCTCGTTCATGGAACGAATCGAGAGGGGATTTTGGCTTTGGTCCTAACTGTTTAAAGGTTTGACCAAGATGGGAATTTGAGACGATCCTAACTGTTTAAAGCACTAAGCAAAGGAAAGGAGAGTCCATCAAAACCTATGTGGAGAGATTCCGCAGCATGGCATTACGATGCCCCTCAGGTATGACCCAATCAACTCTGGTTGAAACTCGCAGGCACAACCTGCAGACCCAGCTCCTTGCTCAAATGGGGGTGGCAGAATGTCGCTCCTGGAGACAACTAGTCTCACAAGGAGAACAAGCTGAAGAGAAGAAGTGCCACAACCCAAGCCGCAGCAGCAACAGCAACGCAACCAGAACAACGCCCAGCGGTCTAAGGGAAAGGAGACCTTGGCGGCCGACTACACGCGAGTACCACCGCCGAATAAGCAAGGCAAGGCGCCAAATCAGCAAAGAGCGCCCAAGCAGTATTCGTTCAAAGAGGAGCACGTGGATACATTATTCCAATTGCTTCGAAAGAACAACAAGCTGCAATTGCCTGAGATCAGGAAGCCGGATGAAGCAGGGAAAGTGGATGACCCCAACTATTGTCGTTATCACAGATTCCTTGGACATCCTACCAAAAAGTGCTATGTCTTCAAAGACATCTTGCAGAATCTGGTGAATGCTAATGTACTCACCTTGAAGCCGGAACAGAAGACCGTATCAACTAATATGATAGCGGTCCAATTCGGTGATTTTCCCCCGGTGGTAACGACGAACGGCGTCGTCCCCATTCGCAAGGGAGAAATGCGTCTGAAGAATGCTGACCCGCATAGTCAGAAGGACAGGGGGTTGGTGCCACTCACTACCCCAAAAGGGGAAATCATGTGGGTCCACCCTGACCTGCTAAGAGATCAACAGTGGACGAGCACCTCGTCTGGAAAGAGGGGAGGCAAGGCTAAGTCTTCTAACATGATTAGCCCCTCCATTACTGAAAATGATGATCACCTCAAACCTCTTACCGATTCAGAAGAGGAGAGGATTGTCCTAGCAGTATACCCAGAAGGCAATCCTGGCACTCGGTCAGGGAAAGCTTACCTGAGGGATTATGGTCAAAATGCTCCAGAGGTCGAGGAACAGCCCCAAGACACTGGGGGTTCTGTCCCGAAAAAGCCGGTTGATAAAGGGAAACAGAAGGAGCTCCGGTTCAACAAAAATCTCCACCTAGAAGCTGGAGAATCAAGTACTCCCTTCTAGTTCAATGTTATGGCACAGTTGGCCAACATACCGGCCAGAATCACTTTATATGAGCTCCTAAGGTTATCCAAAACTACCAAGGAAGCTCTGATCGAAGCTTTAAAGAATACGGAGAGCTTCATCACCCAAGTCACTCCAGCTCCCGAAGCTTCGGAAGACCAATCTTGTCTTCAATGCCTGCAAGCGGCGAGAAGTCTACCCTGCATATCATTCACACAAGAAGACATGCAGGTCAAACACGAACATGACCGACCACTGTACTACACAGGATATATCGGATCCTCCGAAATCAGTCGTGTTCAAGTTGACCCGGGCTCAGCGCTTAGCATCATGCCCTACAGGGTCATGCAGGTCCTAGGGATTCATATGCACCGACTACACACTACCCAGACTACTATCTTCGGGTTCAATGCAAACAGTACCCGACCCCTGGGAAAGATCAAACTCAGATGCCAGATCGGAGATCTCAAGTCTGAGGTACCAACCCATGGCACGTACTGTGCACGGAAGCATCGCTCACCTTGCCAATCCAGTCATCCTTCGTTTCAGATGAAGAAGCGGAAGACGCACAGAAGGCTTTCTTCAAAGTCCCATCCAAAAGGAGAGGGCAGAAGCCGAACACCGACTCCGTCTTCTATTTGGAATCCCAAGAGAAAGAAGATGTAGATAGCGGTAATGAAGCAGACATCGAGCCAGATGTTTTCGCCAAAAGTTGGTCTTGTTGTCGAATTCATTATATCTTCGGTCGATTACAATAAATTCAAAGAAAACAGTCTTTTTATAAGACTCTTTTACACAACAAAAAGAAAATTACAACTCTTGAGAAAATAAACGCAGGATCGTTGTTTGGATCACTGCTTTCGTGGGATCTTTGCCTGTGCCGGGAGCGCTTTGACTCGTGGACCACCAAATCACAGATTCTGATTGAACCGTGAGGGGTTTATGATTCTGACTTCGTTTATCGAAGTGAGAAATTGAAACGATATCTTATCGATGTAAGATAGTCGTTCTTCTTGAAATCAAGTCAAATTATCGATGTAAGATAGTCGTTCTTCTTGAAATCAAGTCAAAGCCTGATTATCAAGGATTGGCCGTAAGGTCAGTACTTCTGCTCTCTCTGCTCTCTCTCTGCTCTGGATTGCTCTGAAGTGCTCAAAATGATCAGCCCTAGATCTCTGCTGGAAGCCCCCTGTGAAAATGGCCTTCGGGGGGTATTTATAACCCTCTGGATGAACAGTACTCGCGAGACAGCATTTGCTGTCTCGGCGGGCGAGACAGTGTTTGCTGTCTCGCTGGCCGAGACAGTAAATTTGCTGTCTCGCCCAGCGAGACAGTAAATACTGTCTCGGAAACTGCAGTTTCTCATTGTAACCGCTCTCCCACGTTTTAAACTCCATTATTCTGGCAGTTATCAACGTGATTCTCGCCCACGACGTTTCCCACGTTCTTGAACAGTTAGTGGCCACGTGTCGACGGTTGCAAAACAGTTTCTTGAACCACTGATAACTGTCTCGTGTGCGAGACAGTAAATTCTGTCTCGCACGGCGAGACAGTAAATACTGTCTCCCGGGGGCGAGACAGTGAAAACTGTCTCGCGGGGGCGAGACAGTGAAAACTGTCTCGCCTGGGCGAGACAGTAAAAGTCTGTCTCGCCGGGCGAGACAGTAAAGACTGTCTCGCCAGGTGAGACAGTAAAGACTGTCTCGCCTGTGAGACAGTCTATACTTGTGTTCTTTTGCCTTTTTGGATAATTTCCTCTTGAGCTGTATTTGGATATCTTTCAGCATTTTTTGACGCCTACAATTACCAAGTTTCCGTGGGTTTTTCGATGCATTTTTAAATGTCATTCACTAGTATGAAAGGCCATACCTTTCTTGTATTAAAAAAACAAAACAGCACACAATGTATTAGAAAATCGATCAAATTAGTATGAAATATAATTGCGTAATGTTGAGAAGATATGCAAATTGTACTACATTGAGGAAATTAAGAGAACATGAGATAGTTGCCTTTCAAAATTTCAGTCTTTATAGCTTCTGTAGGTTGATGTATATTGTCGTCCTTTTCGATTTGTTGAATGATATCAAGCTTTTGGAAATTATATAATGGTTCCAGTGGAATATCTGTTTCCAGTAGTGGCATAGAGGTTGTCCTCTCAGTAAAAGTCAATTGATGCTTGTGATCAATAAGTTTGACGTAGTTGTTGCAATCAATGATGGAAACCCTTGAAATAGCATATGATGAACCCTCATTAAGAATAGATTTCCAGTGCTCATCTAGCCCAATTGGTACAAATCCTTGTCTGCAACTTCCCTGTTATATGAAAAAATATATTGGCAAGAATCATGAAAAATAAATAGATAACACCAAAATTTTATAAATATAGTTGTACAAGCTATGTGTAAATATATCAACTTTCGTGTGATGTGTATATTGATTTCGAAAATGTAATTTAAGCGTGCTATGGGTTAGGAATGACCTTTTCATCTTTAGAAATGAAGACCATGGATTGCATACTTCCAACACCATGAAGCTGGCCACACACAAGCTTCAATATACACAGATTGACATTATACTCCTCAACAGTGCTATCCATGCCCTCAAAAATACTATTGCATATAATCTCTTTGCAGATTGACATTATACTCCTCAACAGTGCTATCCATGCCCTCAAAAATACTATTGCATATAATCTCTTTGTCTTTAGCAAGTGATTGTCTTTCTTTTTCATGCAATGACTTGTTGTTTTGCTTTCTCGCTATTGGCTCATATTCTAACCTCTTTTTAACGTTGCGCTTGGAAATCTTTTTTGGTTCTTGCTCTACCTTTCTCTTGTTTGCTCTTTCCTTATGCTTTGTCACTTGTTCAGTTGTTAGGGTAAAATGGTCAACAGCTGTTGCTGCTATAATCATGTAAATAGTAAGGTAAATGTACTGTTATGTAATAGTTTGAAAAGCAATCAATATGAAAATGAGTATATAAAGTACCGGTGTTAGTTTCGAGTGGTGTCATAGGCTTTGGGATATGTTTTATAGTTGATGTTAAATCAGGATTGATCAGAACCTTTTGTGATGTTCTTTGCTTCAATTTTTTTCCCTGCTTGGTAGTAATTGAGCCAAAGAAATAGAATCAGGATCCACTTTACTTAATCGTTTAAACTTGGCTTTTTGTGTTCGGGAGCTTCCAATGACTTCATTTGTGTCCTTACATGTGGGTTTGCGCTCTTTAGATGAAGACATAACCTGTATAATGATGTTACAAATTAGTAGAGAGAAGTTAAAGCGGATATAGCATCTTGTTTTCATTCTTGCACTTTGCAGATGTGGTGTCAACAAAATTTTCATTTTGAAGCAAAGATATTGACTTAGTAGACTAATGAAGCAAAAAAAAAGCTTATACATTTAGTACATGTTTCAATATAACAATATAAACCCAAGCATATCACTGAAGCACGGTTAGTCAAAGTATGGAAGTGTTGAAAATGTTAGAACTGTACTAATAATAATAAGCTTATGACAAAATCTAATGAAAGTGATGATTATAAGACAGATTTGTAGGTTCAAGCATAATACACATAAGAAAGGAATAAGCACAGTTCATTAGATTGTTGTTCATACAAAAAGTTGAAGTAAAGCATACAACATTTTAATGTTGATGAATTATAATGGAAAAGTTGTTGAATTAGTATTGAATAGAATATAAAGCATGACATGAGTTGATGACATTATTTATTAGCTCAAAGTTGTACTTTTTTTATGATACATACCTTTGAGCATGTTTCTTCATTGATTGGATTAGATGCAACAATTTGTTCCATAACTTCTTGAAGGACGTCTTTATACACAATATTTTGTGTATAATTCAGTGGCATATCAGTTTGCTCACCCAATAAGAATTTTAAGGATTGCCTTGAAGTTGCTCTCAAAACATCAACATAGAGCTGGCCATGTGAGAAAACTGGTGTTTGTAGACATATGCCAATTTTACTAAGAGTTTGTCCTTGGCTTTTGTTTATTGTCATGGCAAATGCTAATTTAATTGGAAATTGTGTCCTGCGCATAATAAATGGTAGCTCTCCTTTATCAGAGAACATTTTGATTCTAGGTATGGTAACTACTTTCCCAATATTAGACCCGATAATGATTTCCGCTTTTAAAACCTTCTGACCAAGCTTTGTTATGATAAGACGAGTTCCATTGCAGAGGCCTACTCTCTGATTTATATTTCGTAGCAGTATAATTGGTACATTGACCTTTAATTTCAAACAATGATTTGGTAGTGCAGAAGTCTTAAGAGAATTCAAAAATTCAGTAGTATAGAAAAGTTCTTTCTTCTTTTGCTTTTCATCGCCAGTTAGCTTGGCATTTGAACTCAAGTAAGTCTTTACCTTACCTGGGATTAGTTCAAGAATTTCATCATTTATTGTATTAACTTGTTCATTAGTTGGGGCAAGTATTGCCTTATCTTGTAAGTAATTAGCAATAGCATAATTTAGGACCAATGATGGATAAGTTGCATCTATAAGACCCTTTGTTCCAAGCTTGGTATCTACTAACATATCATTTGGAATCTGTACCCATGTTGAGTCTGACTGATTTTCTAGGTGAATACCATCAATTGTCCCATCACCAATAGATAATACTCATTCTACAAAATCTTTTAGTTTCATGGAATAAATGGGCATCAGATTTTGCATTCTCTAAGCGCATGTTCTTTGTCAAAAGAAGCAAATGACAATGTTTCCAAAGCGAAGATCTATGTATTGAAGCATCAATGATATGCTCTCTCCCTCCTCTAGGAACAACTGGTAGAATTTGTCTGAAGTCGCCACCTAAGACAACGGTTTTATTCCCAAAGGCTTTGGTAGCATTTGGATTAGAATCAATTTGCATAATGTCTCTAAAACTTCTATCGACTGCATCAAATGCATATTTTGTTGTCATTGGAGCTTCATCCCAAATAATCAAGTCAGTGGAATGTATAAGCTGAGCCAAATGTGATTGCTTTTTTATTGTGCAAGTTGATAGCTCAGTGATTTTGATGGGAATTTTAAATTTGGAGTGTGCAGTTCGCCCCCTGGTAGAAGCAAGGATGCAATACCGGAAGAAGCTACAACCAATACAATTTTTTTCTCACTTCGTAGTTTTGTAACCAAAGTTCTCCATAAATAGGTTTTTCCAGTTCCTCCACCTCCATAGATAAAGAAAAGTTTACCAAGTTTTTCTGAGCATGAGTTCAAGATGGAAACATATGCCGTGTGTTGATCATCGTTAAGGTTTTTTTCCAAGTTTTTCTGAGCATGAGTTCAAGATGGAAACATATGCCGTGTGTTGATCATCGTTAAGGTTTTTTTTCTAGCTTAGCTAACTCAATTGTCAAAAGAGCAGTATCATAGTCCAGCTCATTAAAGATCAATTGATTACTTATGCCTAGATCTGAATTATATGCTGGGAATGGCATTGTTGGGTAATTTACCAGTGACTGGCCATTATGAACCAATGTTTGTTGTATCTCAATGAGAGCTTTATTTTTCAACTGGTCTTCAGTGAGAGTTACAACTTTCCTAGGATTTCTCTTTGTTAGCATGTATTCATAATCTTCTAATAATAATCTCCAATGTGATTCCCATAGTTTCTCTGGATGAGTTACATCACAAAACATGAGTATTATTGTGAAAAACCACCGAAGCCCAACTACACCACTAAAACGAGAAGCCTCTGCTAAACATAAATCCTACTATTTATCATCTTCAAGCAAGCCCATTGCAAGACAAGCAGATTTAAATGTTGGGTGGAGAACATTATCAACTGTCCTTAAAAATTCATAGCTTGTTGCTCCCCTAACAATATTTAACAACATGCGCAAATAATATCTTTCACCACTAACAGGTTGAGCAAAGGGTAGTCTCCCAATAGCAAATGACTTCTTTCGCGGGAGCCATGCAAGTAGTTGCCTATTCCAAATAAACTTTTGTGGGAATTCAGTATACAACAGATCTTTTGCATTTTCAAAAGTCTGATTAGCAATGAACCATTCTGTAAGCATTGTCTTAAGACATCTTTCTGATTGTACAACATTCTCAATGCATCTATTGTCATGAAAGTAGATTTCTTGTTCATATGGCAAATGATAACGAAGTCTCTCTACAGGTGGATAACGTCGATGGAGATTATAATCAAATAATCTCCATGCAGCCTCGGCAGCACTAATATAGCGAGCATCAAGATATTGATGAATCTCATCTTTATCATGTGCAAGTTTATTATTCATAATTCTAGTTGCTAAGTCCGGCCCTTTATGCACATACTTAAATAAGTACTTAATCATTTTCGCATGTGTACAAACCTCAATATTAATGTGCGATTGAATCCTAAGTAGAAGAAATGGACTGTATGGGACAACCATTTGCATCAATTTTCGTCTTAAGATGTCTTAAGACAATGCTTACAGAATGGTTTCCTCAACAGTCTGATTAGCAATGAACCTCAACAGTCTGATTCGCATGCAACTATGATCTCTTTGTCCATGATTTCCATTGCCTCACTTGGAAGGCTAGTTCGATTTAAAGATCGATATCTATTTTCAATCTCATTTGCTGTATCATATATATACAACTGAGCATACCTAGGTTTATTAGGTGGTTCAGGTAGTAAGGATCCAATCGCATGATAGTTTTGGCCATGCATTCTAAATGTGTAAGGTCCTTTACCACGCATAACATTATAGTCAATCTTCGCTCCATGTGAAGTCATATAGAACATTGAATTAAATGAACGTATTTGTTCACGAAATCTTCTACTGTGTGCATCAAGGTTCCTTGGGTTCAAAAGTCTACGAAGTCTTTTTGGTGCCCTACGAAAATGGGGTAGAATAATCTTTCCATTTTTGCAACAGGTTGTATAGTATGACTCAAGTTTTTTCTTCCCCTTTACTTTCTCCTCTTTCCAAACAATTGTATTGCATTTGCTACAAACTTTAGATGGAGGATCCAGAGCAAAAGGTGGCCTTTTAGCCTTTGCTGTGATGATATAGAATAAAGAAACAAAGAGAACAATGAAGAGCATAAGCCAATACCTCTAAACAATTGCGTAAAAGTGCAATGCAATATAGGATTTGAAATAGTCTCTATAGTCACTTACCTGAACTTTTTTGTTTATCCATCCAATGTTGCGACCATATGTTCATCGGTGACTCATCATCATTAGATGATGAATCTGCATCATTATGATTTGCTAAAGAAAATGCCTTTGGAAGGCAAGAGCCTAATTTTTTCTCTTGAACTATTTCTGGCAGAGATAAAATTGGGGCATGTGCTAGTCACTTGTGATATGAATGCCACTATTGCCCACAATTTCTGTTGGCTCGTAATATTTTTTTATTGATTGTTCAATTGATTCTTTCATTGTAATATGTTCTTGATTTTCATGAACAATCCCTATTGCATCACATTCAACGGGATAACTATTTACAGAGAGATATTCCGAGAGAATATGATCAACTAAATTTATGTCAGAATTTTGGTCACTTGTTGTTTCTTGTATTTGTTTCCTAACTTTGTCTTGGTAGTGTTTATGTAATTGCTCTTGCCTCCGGATCTTCTTCTCTTCAGGCGTAACAAGTACATGAGACTTCTGTAGTTTACATTGACGTATCATGACTAAAGGAAAACTACACAACGAGAAAGAGGGAAAAAGTTGGAAGGGAGATGTATTATTTTCTACCAGTCAATTGAAGAAGCAAATTTGAGATTGTGAGTGAGGTCAACTATGCTTGCTAAAAATATAACATTTGTGAGTCACCAATAGCAAAACATAATCAACACATATTCATTATATATGATGCAAGTCAATGAATATACATACACATGAAATAAGAGATGTAAGGTGGTATAGAGCATGAAAAAAGAATAATGGCAAACAAACATGTATCTAGCAAAACAAACATGTATCTAGTATATGACAAGCAAACTACACGCATGTGTAATAGTTAAGACATCACAAAACACATTAACCTTAAAAAGATGTATATATAATCACATAATTAAAGATGTATATATGATCACATAATTTATATAGGAAAATATAATAAGAGAGCTAATAAAAAAAGCTAAAGTATAGCAAACTTACTCACGAGACTTCTAATAATAGCAAACCTGCATTTTGATAGATCAGTGGTGGGATGTATCCTATAATCTCTTACAACAGAGAAGTTACATAATTAAGAAAAATTGATTTATAAGGAAGCCAAAATAAATATAGATAGTTAAGTACAAGTTGTTTCTACTTATTGTCAAAAGACACAGATTCATGCTAAAAAAAAAAGAAAATTTGAATGATGATTTTGAATAATTTACAAGAAAAAAAATTCAAGCCATGGATGAAAAAAATTAGGAACATGGCTTCTACGAAAAGAAAAAGAAGTCAGGAGAACGCACTCAAAGAAAAGAATAACTGCATACATTTCACATCGCTTCTAGAAAAGAAAGTGTAGACGGTAAAAAATACCTCTGTAAGCCTACGGGAAAATCGCCTGTAAGAAGTCGCTTGCACAATTCCCTAGCGCCTGAACCACATGGTCGTCAAATGTGCTCGGCTCCAAATCCGCCTGAATGATCGGCTCGCCTGCACGAGTTGAGATCAATCGGAATAGCGGAAATTCGTCTTTCACGCAACTCGCCTGCCCGAGTCCAAAGTCAAATCCGCCTGCAAACCTCAATCCGCTACCCCACGTGCTGAGATGGGCCTCTCCCTCCTCTCTCGACCCAAAGAGAGAGGGCACAGTACCCCAAGACCGCCAAGCGGCCGCTCACAGCACGCACAGTATGAAGGACTGGACAGGTGTCGAGTCGACCTAAACAGTCATAAATGCGACTCACATCGGCTATCTGAGTCGGGAGACGAATCTGCCGGCGTTCGGCGAACTGTCCAAACCCACTCGAGTACCAGGAACACGCTTTCCCGCCTCTCCTGACCTGAAGAGAGAAGGCACGGCACTCCAGGCCCGCCGAACAAGCTGCCTACAGTACGAGTGAGCAGACAGGTGTCAAAGTCCAAGCAAGAGGACGAGAGCCGCCGGCGCTCGGTGGTTGGTCAGATCCACGCAAGCATCTGACAGCCGTTGTCACGCATACGAGGAGGGGTTTTCCCACTCTTACGAAACGTGATGCAGAGCACAGCTCTTCGAATGACCGCTGGCGGTACGATTGAACAGCAGGACGTATCTGAATAACGTATAGTCACATCCCATGATTCAAGGAGTAGTCAAGCGGTCCTTCTTCCATTTAAAATCCCCTTCCAGCATACTGGAGGGGAGGTCGCAAAACTTGGAGAAAAGTAGTTGAGACCAAGCTGTTAGCAGATCCTTGCATTACAGCACCACTGCCTAGTTATGAGCTCCGATCGCCGGCGAACTAAGCAGACCCGAACTCCATCGATTCGAGCTTCTACTGCGAACTGAAGCTCTCCAGCAACCTCGATCGAACGGTCCAAGGGAAGCAGACTCGACACGAGCATCGAGCGAAGCGTCCTATAGCCACCTAAAGTCCCCACACAAAACAAAGAGGGCATTCCCTCTGCTTCTGTTATAACCATTTCATTATTAGTTTGTAATAAGCTTTCTTATTAATACAAACGAAAACTCCCTGTTTCCGGGAAATCAAATTTACACCATACAGAAGATGGCGACCACAGTGGGAGAAGCTGTTTCATCGAAGGCTTAATTTGATGAAGTTGCTGTCGGGACGACTGTAGAGTCCCTGGAGATTGAGTTCGACCAGGCCAAGTACGAAGAGTACTTGTCTTCCTCATCCTCTGGTGGCGATGCGTCCCGCAAACGCCACAGAGTCGTGCACCGAAGCCAACCTCAGACGGTCAAAGCTTCCGCGCCTAAAGGTTCCACCCGAGTCTCGTCGGAGGAGCCCACTCCCTTGTAATCGATCAAGGCCAAGCCAGAAATCGAGCGCAAGAGGCAAGGGTCTGCCAAATGGATCGCCAAGCGGTCCACACAGACACCTGCCTCGGAGGAAACGCCGGTTCACTCCGGCACAAACTGCACTGCCGCAGCCTGCGGTGACGCTCCCCTCGCCGGGAGAGCTAGCCAACAGCGACGGCAAACGCTCGTCAGAAAGGAGGTCCAAACCTCTGTTTCTCACAATGGCCGGAACCATCATACAGGCTCGAGAAACGCTAGACGAGAAGGCAAACTGCCCGACGTCGGAAGGCCCTCCAAATCAGGAGCGCCGACCGAGGACGGCAGAGCCACCCGATCAGGAGGACTTTGCTTCTCAGGTCACATCCCTGATGCGAATAAACCACACCGAGCGAACGAGCCTATCCAAGTAGGCGAATCCTCGAAGGCTGGCGAGCCTCGCCATAACCATTTGGCGGATAAACGTAAAGGCAAGGAAATAGGCGACACCTTGCAAACCCGCTCGTCCAAACGAAGGGTTGAAACCCGCCTACGCGCTGGGGTTCGCCCGAACACGAAGACTCGCCAGTCAAGGCGAGACCGCCTAAGGCACTCCGCCCAGCGTGCACCGGAGAACACGTCCAAAAATCTCTCGTTCACTCACCCGAGCGACTCTTCTGAGGCTAGGGGTTGTCACCAACCGCCCACGGAAGACCTCAGGGAATACTTAACTCACAAACGCACTATATAGGAGGCGAATCCTCAATGCCACTGTGAAAGACTCATCCACACGGTCCTCGCCGACTGCCAATGCGTCGGAACGGCGAAACCTTCTGTGTTCGAGAGACTGTCTCAACAGTCTTCTCGACCAAGGCCCTCCCGTCAAAGGCGTCGTCACCAAAAAAGACGCGCTGCCGACGACCTAGAGCTCTCATACGCCACAGTTAACATGACGGATAAGGGGAAGGCGGTACTCTCCGACTCGCCAGACTCGGACTCCGTCCTGAGACCTAACACTCGGTTCGCTCGACGTCGTCAAGACGGCATATTCTAGCGAACGCGTAGTCGTAGGGGGGCAAGTATTGGGTTCGATTACTCCACCCTGGTACCTCCCTCTTGCGGCGAAGACGAGGTTCATTCGGCGGCGGCCACATCTCAGACCTCGTGCTCAAGCCAAGACGCGCAGGCGAGAGTACACATGACCGAACTCAACACAGAGCAGACAATGGCTCAAAAGCTGGAGGAACAGCAGGCGACCATCGACTCTCTAAGAGAGATGATGGAGCAACTGCTGAACAAGAAGAAGAAGAAGAAAAGGACCCAACGTCCCTTACCCCGGCAAACTAGGGACAAGGAGTGGGTACCTCCTCACCATCCAACGACTGAGATGGAGGATAATCAGCATTCCGATTACTCCTCCA